TATTTCATTTCCAAAGTGTAATTTGACTTACCCTGTCACACAGCAATTATTTGGCATCTTCTTATGAGAAAGGTTGAAATTACTTACTTTCCTTGCAAAAATAAGACAACATTAAACATAACCTCAATTCAAAAACAATTTTTAATGAGACTTGAACACAAACACCCTTTCATTTATAACTGGATCACTAGAATATTCCTCACACTTTTCACTGGCTTTCAACAATATTTCACATTGATAACACATCAATTTACTTTTGAAAACTAAAAACAATCACTCAGTTGCATCCAGAACCCATATATCATATTAGCACCAATGGCTGGAGGTAGAACTTTTGAACAGTGTTGCCAGACTAGGCTCACCACGGCTAGTTATACAGGAGGCTGTGATTGAAGTATTTTTTTCATTTTGGAACTATAAATGATCTATCCATCTATTCAATATAGAAAATTTGAGTAAGGTCCATTTCAAGCCTTTGTGTATTTTTTCCATATTAATATATCAAAATTGAAGCAAGAGCAGAAGCAAAAACATCTATATTATGGCATAGTTGTTTTCTCATCTAATTTTCAAAAAACATCTTTTGTCAAAAATTCATGAGCATATTTGTGTAAAAAGTTTACCCACCTGCAAAATAATTCAAGTAATATAATTATTATTTTCTTTATAGCATTAGTGATTTTCTATGCAAACTGTTACAAGTTTGAAATTCAATTAAAATAGGCTTGTATCTTTTACTCAGGAATGAGCTTCCGATTGTCATAAAATTATCTATTATCAATTTCATAGGGATATTCCTACTGAAAATAAATTTTGATGGAAATTGACAAATCCCTTATAATTTTATGACGAATTTCTCAAGCTCACAGCTTGGTAACAGCCCTCAGCTTTCCAATTCAAGCTGTTACTAACTGTAATTAATCTGCGAGGGACCGCGCGGTATAGAAAATACCCCAGGCGATATCAAATTACGAGTCTTTGCATGTTTCCTCATTAGTGTTGCACACATTATAGTAAACAGTTGGTAAATTGTTCCTGGGGTATATCCATACCCCATGTAAAAGAGAGTTGAAATCTTCTATATCTGAATTCCTGTCTGTTCAAATGGAAATTCAACCTCAAAACAAGCAGCCTACAGAGGTAGGAAAATGTTTATATTATCCAGGAGAAAAAAACGTGAGAAACTAATAAAATAGGGATGTGTATATTATTTATTCATTCATTGAAATTCATCATTCAATTCAAGTAAATCGATCAAATGAGGTATATTTTATCATTATTATTGTTATAAATCGAGCAACTTCACATCGGACAACGATTTTTTTCGTCTCAAAGTCCTGAAATTCAATAAAAATCAATGGGGTAGATTACTACTCCGCGATTTGTTTTTATCGGCGAGGTTCCTCGCGGGTTAATGTCCTAGGTATATTACTACTGACAATTTAATTCATGTATGAAAAATCCCAGAAGCCCCATGATGTTGTCATTATGACAACATCCCATAAGCCGCGTGATTTTGTCATTATGACAACGAAAAAAGTTTGCCCTTACTTTTCCACTAATCGAATTTTGTTGCCATCAGGTAACTCAACTCAAAAAACTGCCATAAAAAAATAATCGTCCAACGAACTCGTAATTTTTTCAGAGGCATTTCTTTCGTCAAATTGCCAGGCAACAATAATTATAAGTGATAATAACCTTGTTATTGTTGTAGTTTAGAAATGTCAAATTCGGACGTTTGGTGTGTCGAGAACGCGAAATACCCAATTCACGTGCGATTGCACGAAATACACTCACCAGAAGAAAAAACGGCCAGCAAAAAAATGCTGAATCGATCGCCCTGTAACTATTGCTGAAATGTTAAACTGAATTCTAGTTCCCAACAAATCTGATGGCTTGGTCAATGGTCATTATACAAGGAACAAGTTAATTCATACCTAACTTCTTATCACCTTATGGGATTGCCCAATAACATCAGACTAAATTTTGCTATCATGGAAGCTTATACAGGGTTATCATGAAAAACAACAATCAATATACTCCCAACTTCGACACTTTGTATCATCTTGACAAGGAAGCATTTCAGGACCTATGTTTATATGAACTTTTCATCTTGGAATCCCCCATATAATCGCCCCTTGAAGTAAGGCTTGACCTTCTATATGCCACAAAAAGTAAGACATATCTCTCTCTCATGATGATTCAAACCATTCGTAGACTGTAGTGTTGTTCCAATAGGCATGATGATATACAGAGTTTTTCTGGACATCCAGTGCTTTTTGGAATCTTGCTGCGTACTGGTAAAAGAATGATACTGATTTGGCTTGCAGTTTTATGAAAGTTTCAGTCAATCATGTGCATTCTTTCAAATTATTCAATATTTCAGGTAGTGATCGTGAAACTCAAGATGGACAAAGATAGGAAAACAATCATTGACCGCAGGGCGAAAGGACGTTTGGCTGCTCTTGGCAAGGACAAGGGCAAATACACTGAGGAATCTGCTGCTTCTGCTGTAGAAACTCCTTGAATTTTTTATGTTTTGACATATAATTAATAATATTTCATAATAAATCAAGTAATAAATTATTATTACAGCATTGCCTAAAGAACGAGTTATTGCAATCACCTTTGAAGTGATCATATTTGATACCAAAACCTGACATTGAAGATTCAATCACTTGGAGTTTTATGAAAAAAAAAAAAAACTAGAAAAATTACCATGTGAGTGTGTTACAGTTTGGTACACCCCACACCTGTACTTTCGTTTTCTTAGGGATATTTGGAATTTTCTTTCTCAAAATCTCAGAATTATCTGCTTTGTGGAGCAAACAAAAATTATCAGTCACATTTTATGAATATTCAGTAGAACCGATTTGCTGGGGTCTTCTGGTTTCCTCTTTATTGTTATCACCAACCTATTCATTCCACTGACAATTTTGGCCATTTAGAATTTGATCCAATAAAGTTTGCTGGGTTCCCTTCCCTACTACTACTTCTTAAGATATTTCCACATCTTGTAGGAACATTCTGTGTTTTATACTTCATATTCTCATATGGGTTCCTTGTGGAATTGAGTGCAAATAGCAAGTGAAAATACTCCTTCAGGAATTAAAAGGGTATGTCTATGCCGAGGTCTATGCATATGGTAGGTAAAATTGGTACCTACTCAAGATATACCTGTTTCATTCTATCCAATTTAGTGCAAGATAGGGAAAGTGATTTTTTTCTTAAGGCAAATATTCAAAAAGACAAATACACGATAATGAAAATATATAAAAAAGTCTATATTCTTGATCAATACAAAATCAATGCATATCATAAATGGTCAATTTTCCCTCTGGTAAATATATATCAAATTGAATATTCTATTCAACTGAATTGCTTTTGGAATCAACATTCCTAAAGGAATGACTCAACCTGGTGCTCATTTCTCACTGTAGTGGATATATATCTGAATTATTGATGGTATATGGAAGAAATATTTACAATTTTATTCAACTGATTATTGAAAAATTAGGTAAACTAAACAGCAAGTGTGCTACACGCTACACATCATAATGTATAAAATTCAAAGAGTTGTTCTCCTTTTCACAACTTCACCTCATACAAGGCAATATTGAAGAAGATCAGTTATTCCAAATATCTAATAATATATATTATACAGTGTGTCCGCCTTAAGGACTTACCACTTCCTATAAAATTGTTATCACCTGACAGAATTCAAAAAACTTTCTTTGCTGGATAGGTATTTGAAATGTTGATCCAGAAAGAGGATGATTTTATTCTTGGACTATTATCATGGCCAACTGCAACCAACTGTATTGACCCATATTTAGGAATGTACTATAACCTATTTTTGGCACAAAAAATAATGTTGGATTCTGAATCAGGATTACTTGAAACACAACTTGTACCAATTTTCATCATCATTAGGGACATTAGGGTGTCCAATAAAACGAATTCATTGATTTTAGTCATATTTTAGGAAAGATTTAATGACAAATTATTATTGAGGACTACTTTGAACATATCTGTACTGATTTTTTTGATTCAAATATGAGATTTGTACTTATGAGAGAAACATGAAAAGAATAAGTAGGCAATATTTTATTATCAATTCAAAGAAATAAAAATTTGATTTTTTGAGGAATACTACAGTACTACATTTTCTCACCTATTAGAAAAATAAATCTTCTGGGACACCTTGTGTTTTATGATGGTGAAAATTGTTCTGGTATAATTCAAGAGATCCTGATTCAGAATTCATAATTAATTTTCATGAAAAAATCCTTAATAGTACTATCTGAAATATGGGTCAATGAAATTGATCACAGTGGGCCATGATAACAGTCCAAGAATGAAATCAATCTCTTGTTGGATGGACATTTCAACCTATCTAACAAAATGAGCTTTTTGAAATCAATGATTTTCACAGGGGTGGTAAGTCCTCAAGGTGGATATACTGAATATATATGGGTTATTCATATATTAGACTTTTGGGTTTGCCCTTGAGTATTAGTATTGATGATGAAGTTATAGAATCAAACCATTTCCAGCAAAAAATAATGAATATTTCTTGTTTGAATTGAGCTACACACTGGTTTCTTCTTCCAATAGTCTAGGGTGGAATTTTTTTCTGAGAATATCATTTACTCCTTCTCTATTCCTTGCTATTTCAATTGCATAGAATTGTATTCTTGTTACTAACATTGTATTTTCTTCTTTATAATCTCCTCTAGAATCTGCACGGAGGAGAGTTCCAAAACTATAATCCTCTACTAGTGTCTTGAATTTTTCACAAAAAGGTCTCCACTTTACTTTTTCTTTGGTGCTTTTCAGTTCATTCTCATTAATAACTGTAATATCATATTTGGGAAACTCATCTCTGAATATTTTGTAGATGATATCATCTACTGAAGTCAATGTTAAATGTTTGGGATCTACTGAGCACAAGATCTAGAAATTTTAAAACATTTACAATAATGCCTTTATACCCAAGTTCAGGCCAAGGCCCCTTCTTACATTGAAATAAATTTCTGCATGCTCAAAGGCTTTGATTGCCCACATAGTTTCAACACTTTGATCATTTTCGAACTCATCAGCTGGTCGTGACAATACATCCTAAAAATCATGAAAACATAATGTTAATAAATTCCATACAATATCCTATTCAATACCATTTTCAATGTTTCTAGACACTTCTAGATTTTCTGTCAAAACTCAAAAAAAGAAAAAGAATACCAAGTAAAGAGTAAACATTAATTCCTACATTGTTGCCAGCTGCTGAACATGACATGTCGCAAAAAGTCAGGAATAAAACCGCTAGAAGCTGCTAAAGCGAGCGAAGCACGGTAACGGCAGCAACAACATCGCAGGAGAAAGCAAATATTTTTGCAGAGATTTTCGCAGCAAACTCTACTTTAGATTCCCAAGGAAAAGTGCCGCCGAACATTCCACCCGTTGAGAGTCGAATGCCCGAAATCGTCTTCCGTCAACGCACTATCAGACGAATTTTGCTTGATCCCAAAACGAATAAGGCTAACGGTCCTGATGGAATTCCACCTATTATCCTCAAAAAATGTGCACCAGAATTAACACCGATTCTCTGCAAGTTGTTCACCGTCTCTTACAGGTCGGGTATTTTTCCATCATGCTGGAAGACAGCTAGAGTCCAACCAATCCCCAAAAAAAGGAACAAGAACCTGCCCAACAACTACAGGCCCATTGCCCTGTTATCAGTAATCTCCAAAGTGATGGAGAAAACCATCAATATTGAGCTTATCAAATATCTGGAAAGCTCAAGAATCATCAATGATAGACAATACGGCTTTCGCCACCGAAGATCTACTGGAGATCTACTTGCCTCTACGTCACCCATTTATGGCAAGCTTCATTAGAAAAACACGGGGAATCCCTAGCTGTCGCGCTGGACATATCGAAAGCATTTGACCGGGTTTGGCACGAAGGACTCCTCCACAAACTACCATCATACGGCTTACCACCTCAGCTATGCCATCTCTTATCGAGTTTTCTTTCAGGCAGATCGCTTCATGTGGTGGTGGACGGTGTATCGTCTGATACAATTGGCATTAATTCCGGCGTTCCACAAGGATCAATTTTGGCACCAACATTATTATTGCTTCTTCATATCAATGATCTGTTGGGAGTAACAACTTGCCCCATCCACAGCTTTGCAGATGATAGTACCCTACATACTGCGTTCTCTTCCAGAATTCCCATTTCTTCCCAGGAAACTAAGAACTCACGGCGCAGGCAGGTCAATGCTGTCAATGAAGACCTTGCTGAAATCACAGCCTGGGGAACCAACAACCTAGTTGAATTCAACGCCACCAAAACTCAAGCCTGTATTTTCTCTAGAAAGGCGGAACTCAGTAGGTATGCCCGACATTGTAATATCTGGCACCACCATCCCCACCAAGTCCACCATATCTATGCTCGGTATTTCCATCAGCAACAATCTTTCATGGGATAATCATGCGAGATCCATCGCAAAAGCTGCTTGACAAAAACTCAGATTCTTGTTCCGTGCGAAAAGCTACTTTACACCTCAACAGCTCCTCATGATCTACAAAGCGCAGATACGGCCTGTTCTAGAATACTGTTCCCACATATGGGGTTCAGCACCAAAATATACGCTGATGCTCTTAGATTCCATCCAGAGAAGAGCCATCCGCCTGGTGGGTGACGCCACGCTCACTCACTCTTTGACATCATTGGAACACCGCAGAAGGGTCGGCGACCTTTCACTTTTCTATCGATACTTCCACGGGAAATGTTCTTCGGAAATCTCTGCTATCATCCCTTCACTAGCAATACCAGTCAGACGAACTAGACAAGCCCAGTCAGCACATCCTTTCGTTGTCAACCTCGAAAGATGTCGAACAGCACTTTATCAAAACTCCTTCATCCATAGAACGGCTAAGCTCTGGAATTCATTGCCTGTGGAAGTATTCCCAACAACATATAATCTCCAGAAGTTCAAAAAAAATCCAATACCTACCTCCTATCCCTATCCTCCCTAGGAACGCACGATGTTCTTTGAACATTATAGGGATTCCCTTTCGTGCGCTTCAAGCGATAAAAAAAAAAGTGAAGATCTTCGAATTTCCATCCAAGTTCGGTCTCCGATGGCATGGTGAGCTGGTGAGGCGGCTAATAATAAGTCTCAATATACTAAAGTTATTAGTTGTTGTGTAATCAAATATTTACTATTTATCTGTCGAGTAGGCTAGTTAACACTTAGGTATCTGTCAAGTATGCTAGTTACCACTTAGTATCTGTCAAGTAAGATACTTACCACTTATATCTGTCAATTAGGCTAGTTGACAGTTAGTGTCTGTCAACTATAAAAAAATATATCATGTGGCGCTTCTACGCTTCCGTAGTACGTTCGAATAAAAAAGAAGAATATTTGCAGAAAACTTCTCCAAAAATACTGACGTGAACGCCCCAAAGAAGTGTGACCAATCACATCGTTACTATGATTTGCATCTTCAAGAAACTTCGACAATCAGAAATAATTTCGAACACCTCCATACAATTATCGCCGGATATTTCCTGGTGAAATAACTGGAAATTCCTAGAGAATTCCAGATATCCAGAAAATTTCCTTGTGATAGGCAACGCTGTATGCAGGTATCAGCTGACAACAAAGACAATTGATGATTGACATTGTCATCGTAGCAACCTGTGTCTCGGGACAGTAACCAGGATAATACCATTGGGTGTCGAATCTCTGGTGTCGGTAAAGAAGTGCCTAAATCTTTCGAACCATTCTCATCACGTGATAATCATGTTGAGATCCGTTCATTGGATCCGTGTTTCTAATAGCATGGCGTCAGCCTACTGTGATGATTTGTCAAGTGATTTATTAGGCAAGGATGATTTTCCTTCCTCTAGAGACCCCGAGAAACTTTTTCCACGAGCGAATGCGCATGCGTCTATATTGTATCAATATTAATTTCCTTGGCTGCATTCACTGAGAAAATATGAGAAAACTACACAAGTACATACGTGTGCCGGTTGAAGCGGCCGCATTTTCGAAGCAGACGGCGTTCAAAACGAGTCAAATAAACGCCGCCCCAGTGCTTCATAAGTTATCACCTGATTTTTTGGGCTGAAAATCAGTTTATTATACACTCGGTTGAAATATTCGAACCATACATGAGAAGACGGTCGATTTCATAGGGGCAGATGATGAAAAAAAGGGTGATCAGATCAACACCGACAAACTTTGCTTTCAGGTTTGTTACTTTATTTTGATGTGGAAAATTTCCATCAACGTTTCGTCTTGAATGCATACTGTCTTGAGATTCAGAGTGTCAAAAGTACTGAAAATAAAATTATTACAATTTTTAGAGGAACACCTGCTCAAAGTAAAAAATAGTTTGTTATTTCTATCCTGATGATGAAATGGATCGTCTCACACGCAGTTATGAAATTTCGATTGATTTATGCTTCCATCAACATCAATATTCATCGAACGACTCTCTACCAAACTTGCTAGACCATGGAATTGCAAAATTTTGGAATGAGGAAGTTTCCAATAATGCGGTTGCCATTTCACTGTGAAGTTTGTAATAGTTTTAATATAAACGTATTTTTTCTTTTTTTCTGTTAGATCTATTTTCTTGGAAAGTTGCAGAGCATATCTTGCAACAGCTCATAATACTTTGAGCCCGTCCACACCTCACAAAATCCTAACAGGCACACCGAGAGCTGATCAGTTTTACTTGTGTCGCTTTTTTATCTCCAGGTATTCGTTAGCCGATGTCTACAGTTTATAATTGTTTCGTTATAGTTAGGTTATCATCGCTATTTTTCATGAAATTAACATTAACAATGACGCCAAATTGTCTTTCCTTTTTTTATTCGTATTTTATTCGTTAATAAGGTATTAGCTTCATTCTCCATCATCAACTAAATTCAGACTAGATTCAGAATGTACGTCACAGTTCACCGCCCGGAAAGTGGAAAATTGCTTTATTTTGAAAATGAAAACGACTCGTACTCTTATTTTATGAAAATTAATCTGAAGGAAACTTTCCCGAAGTATTCACAAGAACTTTTAACCTCAACAATTTCGAAAAAAGTCCAATATCCAACTTCTCTCCCTATCCTCCCTGGGAAGTCACGATGTTCTACGACCATAACAAGGATTTTCTTTTCTTGTGATCCAAATAAAGAAAAATATATGAATAAGATTAAAATTCGGGTTGATCCAAAAATAGTTCAACTTGAAATAATATAAACGTTCCTCAGAATAGTTGATTGTTGATTGAATGTTTATAGGGTGCTGTGTGTGAAACTGTGAAACTGATTTCTTGCATTTTCAATTTTAAATCGAATTCCTATCTGAACGGTTCTGGTTTATGATTCTCCAGATGATGACTCTGTCTCTCTGTCTCTAGTAGGGTCCCTTGATGGAAATTGACGTTGAAGTCATCTTAACAGGGTACGGACAGATCCTCGTCTCCTCTCACTCTAAAGTGTTTGTGAAACAGTTATATAGTTCCATCCTTATTCAATTCTGGGGATAAACACTAGATTTTTGACATTCGTTGCTTTTCAGGTTATATTGAGGTCACTGGCGTATCATAAGTAATTTCCATATGGAATTCCTGATTCAACTATACCAAGATATAGATGAACAATCCTCTAGTTTTAGAGTTTACTACTCCAGCATAATCTTTGCGAGGTAGGTAACATATAAATTGTACTGAAAGCTTGATATATTTCGTCAAGAGAAACTGTTCTTAGACTGTATATACCAGGGTTGACGGAATTGACTAAATGAATTCTGATTTCAAGCTGAGCAGAAGTTTATCTATGAGCTGAATGAGCTGAGCCTCGTGATTGAGAAATGGTGGAAACCTCGATGTGAATATATTTTCGGAAATCCAACTCGGAGAATAATTTATGGATTGACTAATATCACACTATGTATAAAACTTCGTCCGGGACGAAAAGTTGGCTGATGAAAAGTAATACGTTAGGTAAATGTGCAGGAAAATAAAGAATAAAATATACTATACCACCATGTAATACATATCATTTTTCCGTCTCCCTGCTCGAATAAAAATTCATTTTCGAGTAATTCATTGATGAAAAGTTACATAGAAGTAGGTATACCCAGTATAACTTATTGGCACGTTATTTTCACTCTTGCATCCTACATATTTTCTATTTGTGG